AATGTTTTCCTCATTGACAGCTTCTAGTTCAGATGCATTTCTCATTGCTGCCTTTCTCTTGATCTTGCGTTTAGATTTCTTTGATCGCTTCATGTCATGCTGATGGTCTCCATTTTGTTGTGCTGTGGAGACCGTTTCTTCTTCTATCACCTGCAGTACTTCACCGATGGCTGTTTCATTTGTGTGAATGTCGTTTTCAATGGTCTCTGCCTGGTCTCCACCTATTTCCGGTACTGAAAGTTCTGTTTCATTGTTGTCACCAGAAATGTTTTCCTCATTGACAGCTTTCAGCTCAGATGCATCTCTCATTGCTGCCTTTGTCTTGATGTTACGTTTAGATTTCTTTGATCTCTTCTTCTCATCCTGGTGGTCTCCATTTTGTTGCTCTGTGGAGACCGTTTCTTCTTCTATCACCTGCAGTACTTCACCGATGGCTGTTTCATTTGTGTTTATCTTGTTTTCGATGATCTCTGCCTGGTCTCCAACTATTTCCGGTACTGAAACTTCTGTTTCAATGTTGTCACCAGAAATGTCTTCGTCATTGACAGCTTTCACGTCAGATGCATCTCTCGTTGCTGCCTTTCTCTTGATCTTGCGTTTAGATTTATTTGATCTCTTCTTCTCATCCTGGTGGTCTCCATATTGTTGTGTTATGGAGACCGTTTCTTCTTCTATCACCTGCAGTACTTCACCAATGGCTGTTTCATTTGTGTTTATCTCGTTTTCAATGGTCTCTGCCTGGTCTCGAACCATTTCCAGTACTGAAAGTTCTTTTTCAATGTTTTCACCAGAAATGTCTTTGTCATTGACAGCTTTCAGGTCAGATGCATCTTTTGTTGCTGCCTTTCTCTTGATCTTGCGTTTAGATTTCTTTGATTGCTTTGTCTCATCCTGGTGGTCTCCATTTTGTTGTGAAGTTGAGACCATTTCTTCTTCTATCACCTGCAGTACTTCACCGATGGCTGTTTCATTCGTGTGAATCTCGTTTTGTATGGTCTCTGCCTGGTCTCCAACTATTTCCGGTACTGTAAGTTTTTTTTCAATGATTTCACCAAAAATGTTTTCATTACCGACAGTTTTCAGTTCGGATGCAATTTTCGTTGCTGCCTTTGTCTTGATCTTACGTTTAGATTTATTTGATCGCTTTTTCTCAACCTGGTGGTCTCCATATTGTTGTGTTATGGAGACCGTTTCTTCTTCTATCACATGCAGTACTTCACCGATGGCTGTTTCATTTGTGTGAATGTCGTTTTCGATGGTCTCTGCCTGGTCTCCACCCATTTCCAGTACTGAAAGTTCTTTTTCAATGTTTTCACCAGAAATGTTTTCCTCATTGACAGCTTTCAGTTCAGATGCATCTCTCGCTGCTGCCTTTTTCTTGATCTTGCGTTTAGATTTCTTTGATCTCTTCTTCTCATCCTGGTGGTCTCCATTTTGTTGCTCTGTGGAGACCATTTCTTCTTCTATCACCTGCAGTACTTCACCGATGGCTGTTTCATTTGTGTTTATCTTGTTTTCGATGGTCTCTGCCTGGTCTCCAACCATTTCCGGTACTGAAACTTCTGTTTCGATGTTGTCACCAGAAATGTTTTCATTACTGACAGCTTTCAGTTCATATGCATCTCTCGTTGCTGACTCTCTCCTGGTCTCATCTGTAGATCTCTTGAATACTTTGTTCTGCCAATCCTGATGTCCGTTCTTTTTGGTTTCAGTGGGTTGTTTTCTCAGCAATAAGAACAGCTCAGTTTGGGTGGAAATGGTTTTATAAACTGGTTCCAAGTGAAATCTGTTCTCCAGCCCATCCATCTCTGTTTGCGTCGATATTGTTTGACGGACTGGTTTCAAGAGACATCTGGTCTCAGGCACATCCATCTCCGTCTGGACTGAAGCACATTGGTAAACTGGTGAGGTGTCTTGTAATTCACTCTGAGTCTGAACAGAAACCATAGTCTTCTTCCTCTGTCTTCTCTCTGAGAGTAATTTTCTCATCAGATCTTTTTGCTGTTGAAGTTTAGCGTTTAGTTTCTGATTTACATCGAACATGTCATCGAGCTGTTGCATTAAGTATTTCTGTACTTCCATGTGTTCCAGTTCAGACTCCTTACATTTGACTTCACACATACGTTTTGCTTGACTTGTATTTTCTGGAGAGTGAGGCAAATTCTGAATTTCGGTTAAACCCTCTCCTTGAATCTTTTCTTCTGTTTTATCAACAGGAACATCAGTTAAGTTCCCAGTTTGGATGTTGTCCATGGGTTCTCCCAGAGATGGATGTTTCTGTCCTTTTTGATCCAGTGTCTCCTTTTGTTTCAAGATGGATTCTTCTGTGGTGATCAGCTGTGTTGTAGAAATTGCAGAATACTCGGAATAATTTTTCTTTTTCAAGGAAGCTATGTCATCATGTCCTTCGGCCGGCATTGAAACATTTTTGGTTTCAATGTTCTCAGCAAAAAAACTTATGTCTATGCAAGGTTCTGATTTGGGGAAAGTTTTCCACAATGGCTTTTTTCCACTGCTGGAAAAATCTCCCTGATCATTTTCTTTTTCCGGCAGAGGACCATCATCGATATCACTGTTTTTAGTAAAAAACGTTAAATCGATGCAAGCATCAGACTGGGGGAACGATTTCCACAACAGTGGCATCTTCTTATTGCGCTTAGTCTTTGGCTGTTTTTCCCCTTTCTGGTCCATTTTCTTGTGTGTTTCTGTGACAGATTTATTTTCGGTCACCAGCTCTGTTGCAGAAATCACAGTGTTCTTAGTATTAATTTCCTTTTTCAAGGAATCTGACTCATCATGTTCTTCGGTCGGCATTGAAGCATTTTGGATCTCAATATTCTGAGCAAAAAAACTTACATCTATGCAAGGTTCAGACTTTGGGAGCACTTTCCACAATGTCTTTTTTTCGTTGCTGAGCAAACCTGCCTGATGACTTTGATTTTCAGACAGAATACCGTTGATGTCACTGTTTTCACAAAAAAACGTTAGATCTATGCAAGCATCAGTCTCAGGGAAAGATTTCCACAACAGAGGCGTTTTCTTGATGCGCTTTGACTGTTTTTCCCCTTTCTGGTCGACTTTCTTCTGTTGTTCTGTAACGGATTTCTTTTCAGTGACTGGCTCTGATGTAAAACTAACAAGTTCCTCTGTGCAAATCTCCGTCGTAAAGGAATCCTCCTGATCACCTTCTTCAGGCAGAGAAGTGTCCTGATTGACAACATGTTCAGTGCTGGTCTTAGAGGACTCTTCCTGCTCTGGTTTCTCCTCCAGTACGGAGATCAATTCCTGTTCGGTAACCAGTGAATCATCTTCTGTTTCAATATGTTCAGCTGAAGTCTTTACGTCAGTGGGGGCATGTTTTTCCAACCAGATGTGAAATGGAATCATTTTCTTCTTGTTACGCTTCCTCTTCGGTGGCTGTTCCTCAGACTTGGAGGGCTGTTCTTTCTCTACTGTGTCGACTGTCTCCTGCACTCCAGCAATGGACTCTTCTAAACTGACCATTGAATCATTCTGCTTTTCAATATTACCTGCAGAAACCTCTTGATCAATAGGGACATGTTCCTCCGAACAGGTTTTAAGTGGTTCCTGGTTGTTCTCATTGGACTCACTTTCAGGTGACTGCCCATCCCCTTTTTGATTCACTTTTTCCAGTCCTTTGGTGCTCGATTTATTTTCAGTCACCAACGAAGAGTCCTGCTGTTCCATATTTTCAGCTGACATCTTAAGCTCCTCAGCTTCGTGCAGTGCCCACCAGACTGCAAATGACATCTTCTTCTTGCGCTTGGGTGGCTTGGGTGGCTGTACTTCCCTCTCAACGATGTTGTCGGATGCAACTTCTTCGATTGTACGCTGGTTGGACTCCATTGTAACTTTTGCTTGTGGTTCTAAGATAATTAACTGCTCTAGAAACTCAGTAGATTTCAAAGTTGAAAATCGTACTATGAACTGCTAAGTAACTTCTCAAGAGTAACGTATCGACAACGGCTGCTAACAGGTTGTGATGAAGGTAGATGGATTTGAGGAGATTATACAATCGCTGGTGATGTCAGAATTCTGCCTTTGGAGTTACATTGTGATGTCACATTGTGATGTCACAGTTCCATTTCATATTCAGAGCGGGCTTGTCTGACGGATTTTTTTATGAACACGGCGGATGCGCGCGCAACTTCACTCCAGAAAGAATAGGCAGGCTATTAAACTGTCACTGGTTGCCATAGTTACCCACCATTACCTTGTTGTTTGAGAAGGACTTCGCTGCAGTAAACAGAAAGGGTCGGGGACAGACCACTGTCAGTCTCACACCTTATTTGGAAATGGGATCATTGCACTCCGGAATTGAAGGGGGGCGCTATTTCTTATATTATCTGTGGTCTCCCGTTTGTATTGTCTTTTGAAATCTGGGATATAGCTTCATCTTTAAGAAGGAGTTTTACTCTCAGCATGTATTTGAACTTCTGTCTTTTATTTACTTCAGCGCAGCTCACAGTTTTTAACAAATTCCATAGCTTTCTGTGTACTTCTAAATCTGCTCCTAAATTGCACATTTTCTGGCCTGCTACTGCCTCTAGTGGCGTGGGGTGGTAGCACAACTAATTTAATTACGTCACTAAATGAGAATACCACTAAGTCTTTATTTTATTATTAATTCTGGCATTACCTCTGGTTCAGGGCACCTATGTGTTGCATACAGTGCATACCCACTTTATGCGCCACTGCATGATGTTTCAGGTGAGTTTTGGTCCCTTGGCTGATGACCGCAGACATTTGTAGGTTAGAAGTCACCAATACTCAAACCCGATTGGCTCTGAGCAAATGATGGAGGGAAGATTAGGGGAAAAAACGGAACAATCCACAGTAGAGAATGAGGGAAACGCAGAGAAAAATGTTTTTAATTGACTGATTTCATCTGCAGTCATCGTTTAGTTTGTTCATGGGAGCTCAGATCATTCACCGTCATTGATCTGTTTAATCTGATTCCATTATCAGCGGCTAATTAGTCATCAGACTCTGAGGCTTTAGCTGACCTCTTCCTCTTCATCATCTTCATCAGCCCCTGTGACCCAGACCAACATATTAAAATGTGTTATTACTAGCCTGTAGCAATGCCTCTCCTCAACATGAGAATATCAGTTTCACTTGACTGGCTATATAAAAGTTTTTTCTCCCAAGAAGCTGAAATAAAAATCTGTTATTGATCAGGTAGTGAATCACAAAGGGATCCACTGCTGCTCCTTTAGTGACAAACTGCTGCATCCTAAATGCACAAAGGAGCGTTACCATAGGTCCTTCCACCAAGTTAGACTCTATAACCATCACTAATCCAATCAAACTCAGTGTTTACATCCATGGTGGTATCTGGACAACTTCACTGTTGTACATGTTTTTTTATTGTCACTATTTGTAAATAGTCTGTCATTTAATGCTCAATATGCACATTTTGTACATTTTTAAATAACTAACTCAGAGGCACATTCCTCTGGAATAGAGGTTTTTTTATAACTCCAAGGTATGTATGTAGAAATATTGTGCTTACTGTATAGTATTTTATTTGTTATTNTTTTGCTGTTGAAGTTTAGCGTTTAGTTTCTGATTTACATCGAACATGTCATTGAGCTGTTGCATTAAGTATTTCTGTACTTCCATGTGTTCCAGTTCAGACTCCTTACATTTGACTTCACACATACGTTTTGCTTGACTTGTATTTTCTGGAGAGTGAGGCAAATTCTGAATTTCGGTTAAACCCTCTCCTTGAATCTTTTCTTCTGTTTTATCAACAGGAACCTCAGTTAAGTTCCCAGTTTGGATGTTGTCCATGGGTTTTCCCAGAGATGGATGTTTCTCTCCTTTTTGATCCAGTGTCTCCTTTTGTTTCAAGATGGATTCTTCTGTGGTGATCAGCTGTGTTGTAGAAATTACAGTATTCTCGGAATAATTTTTCTTTTTCAAGGAAGCTATGTCATCATGTCCTTCGGCCGGCATTGAAACATTTTTGGTTTCAATGTTCTCAGCAAAAAAACTTATATCTATGCAAGGTTCTGATTTGGGGAAAATTTTCCACAATGGCTTTTTTCCACTGCTGGAAAAAGCTTCCTGATAATTTTCTTTTTCCGGCAGAGGACCATCATCGATATCACTGTTTTTAGTAAAAAACGTTAAATCGATGCAAGCATCCGACTGGGGGAAAGATCTCCACAACAGTGGCGTCTTCTTATTGCGCTTAGTCTTTGGCTGTTTTTCCCCTTTCTGGTCCATTTTCTTGTGTGTTTCTGTGACAGATTTATTTTCGGTCACCGGCTCTGTTGCAGAAATCACAGTGTTCTTAGTATTAATTTCCTTTTTCAAGGAATCTGACTCATCTCGTTCTTCGGCCGGCATTGAAACATTTTGGGTCTCAATATTCTGAGCAAAAAAACTTACATCTATGCAAGGTTCAGACTTTGGGAGCACTTTCCACAATGTCTTTTTTTCGCTGCTGAGCAAACCTGCCTGATGACTTTGATTTTCAGACAGAATACCGTTGATGTCACTGTTTTCACAAAAAAACGTTAGATCTATGCAAGCATCAGTCTCAGGGAAAGATTTCCACAACAGCGGCGTCTTCTTGATGCGCTTTGACTGTTTTTCCCCTTTCTGGTCGACTTTCTTCTGTTGTTCTGTGACGGATTTCTTTTCAGTGACTGGCTCTGATGTAAAACTAACAAGTTTGTCTTTGCAAATCTCCGTCGTAAAGGAATCCTCCTGATCACCTTCTTCAGGCAGAGAAGTGTCCTGATGGATAACATTTTCAGTGCTGGTCTTAGAGGACTCTTCCTGCTCTGGTTTCTCCTCCAGTATGGAGATCGATTCCTGTTCGGGAACCAGTGAATCGTCTTCTTTTTCAGTATGTTCAGCTGAAGTCTTTACGTCAGTGGGGGCATGTTTCTCCAACCAGATGTGAAATGGAATCATTTTCTTCTTGTTGCGCTTCCTCTTTGGTGGCTGTTCCTCAGACTTGGAAGGCTGTTCTTTCTCTACTATGTTGACTGTCTCCTGCACTCCAGCGATGGAATCTTCTGCACTGACCAGTGAATCATTCTGCTTTTCAATATTACCTGCAGAAACCTCTTGATCAATAGGGACATGTTCCTCCGAACAGGTTTTAAGTGGTTCCTGGTTGTTCTCATTGGACTCACTTTCAGGTGACTGTCCATCCCCTTTTTGATTTACTTTTTCCAGTGCTTTGGTGCTCGATTTATTTTCAATCACCGACGAAGAGTCCTGCTGTTCCATATTTTCAGCTGACATCTTAAGCTCCTCAGCTGCGTGCAGTGCCCACCAGACTGCAAATGACATCTTCTTCTTGCGCTTGGGTGGCTTTGGTGGCTGTACTTCCCTCTCAACGATGTTGTCGGATGCAACTTCTTCGATTGTACGCTGGTTGGACTCCATTGTAACTTTTGCTTGTGGTTCTAAGATAAATAACTTCTCTAGAAACTCAGTAGATTTCAAAGTTGAAAATCGTACTATGAACTGCTAAGTAACTTCTCAAGAGTAACGTATCGACAACGGCTGCGAACAGGTTGTGATGAAGGTAGATGGATGTGAGGAGTTTATATAATCGCTGGTGATGTCAGAATTCTGCCTTTGGAGTTACATTGTGATGTCACATTGTGATGTCACAGTTCCATTTGATATTCAGAGCGGGCTTGTCTGACGGATTTTTTTTTATTAACACGGCGGATTAAGGAATAACCAGTCATCACAATTTCAATATTAACCATACAAATATAACTTAAATTGAAGGGAAGGAAAACTCCTGCTCATGTAAATACGTCTTAAAAAGAGATTAGATAAATCAGGAATTTGCTCATTTGATCTATGTAGGCAGATTCATTCAGAGAAGTCCTATTAAGCCAGAATAGCTCTGGCTAAGTACATCAGTTTTTGGCCATTTGGAATTTAGAAGATCTGCCTTATAGTTTGGTGCAAGCAAAAGTCATGTATACTGTCAATAAAGACTTTAAACGTGTGGCCAGGTTTAAGCTTCTGTGGTTATTGTTTGAGAAGCAAAACACAGATCCTAACTTTTACCAAACAACTTTTTGCTATTGAGTTAGACTGTAAATCCATTTTTAAGACTAAGTTACTTTAACTTCTTTGCATTGCTAAATACAATTACTAAAAATATGTTAGAAAAAATGACTTCCACAGGGTGTCCTATTTTTTTTTTTCCACTCGTGAACTGAATGACATATTGACAACTTTTTCTGTGTTTACACTCCATTTATATATTATGTGCAATAATGGCTGCCATTAACTTTGTTTTCACTCCGTTTTTCTTTCCAATTAAATCTGTGTGCGCTCCAGTGCTTCCAACTTTGCCTCTGTCTCATTCCAGTCTTCTGAACCCCCAGCTGGCTGCAGCAGATGGTAGCTCACACTGAGCCTGGGTCATCTGGGTTACATCCAGTTGTGAGGATTTCTTCTCTAATGTCACCCTGTCTCTTGTTTTTGGTTTTTGTTTTTTGTTGTTTTTGTTTTTTTGAAGCACCTTGTGTGAATTACCCAGTGTTTGAATGATGGTATGCAAAAAAAAAAACTTGCCTCTGGACAAAGTAGTGCAGGTGGACTCAACCAGTCCACAAGAGCTACTGTCTTACAATTTTTAATCACATCTCTTGTCCAAAATGCCTGAATCAAATTCCTGAATTCCCTCATCAGGCTGTTTTTCAGCTATACAAAGACCTGGTAATGAGCAATTCATCTGATTCAGGTGTGTTAGAGAAACTGTTAGCCAGTAATTTAAGCATTTAAGATTAAAGTGAAATGAAATGAACTGACCTATCGAGAGCTTATCTCCTTCTGAAACGGGAGATTTATGAATAAGGGACTCAGTCCACCTCAACAACAACTTGTTCGTCAGCATATAAAGAAACGGCTCCATGAATGGAAGATATGTGTGTTATTGACAAGAACTGTGGCAATATTGTTAAAGGATCTTTCAGTTGCCTTCTTTTAAAATGGCAATTAAAATTTTAGAAAGACTAGAGCAGATTTACTACAGCATATTTTTCTTGTGCAATACATTTTTTTTTTTTTTTTTTTTTTCTTTTTCTCAAAGCACATTTAGGAAAAAATAAGTTTACCGACTTGGAATCCAACTATTTAAGAACTAAATTCTTTTAAGACCCAAAGATTTTTCCCACTTCTAGCAGCAGCTCACATCCGGCTTTAGATTTGGCAGTTTTTGTCTGTTCCAGCTGGGTACCACAGACTTGGAGGAGCTAATTCTTACTCTAGCTGTTTCACACTTGGCTGCCAACTCCACCAGAGCATGCAGTATGTTTCAGTTCGATAAAAGGAGCAGAATCACATCATCTGCAACAAGGAAAAATGCAATAAGAAGCTCACTGAGCTCATCTGAAACCTCTGCTTCGTATGGATAGATGTTCTGTTCATATACATTACTAAATCAGTCAGAAAAAAGAAAGTACTGAAACTGGTCTGATGTACATCTGGGCTCTCTAGTTTCACAGTAAATAAATTGGTCTGTAGCAAGAGGTCAACATTCTCAATTCAACATTCTCAGCCAAAAACACCACAAGGGAATGGCTTGTAAGCTTTATCCAAGTTCACAAAACCCATTACGCTCTTTGGCCAAACTATCACTTACACTCCAACATCCCTGAGAGAAGTGGGAAGAGTGTTTAAAACCCAAAATGGAAAAAAAAGATCTGCCAGAAATGCCTCTTCTCTCTCACTCTCTGGCATTAACTCTTCCAGGGAGACTGAAGACTATAATCCCCTTCAGAGACTCTAATCTCTCAACCTAGCTCACAATAGTTTTTTTTTTTTTCCTTTGAAAAAAAACATCAACATTCAAAAAAGAAAAAGCTCATAAAAGAGGCGTACATTAGGCAGCTAAGAGCACATTAGGTTTGGAGCTCCATACTCAGGCATCAATGCATGCCAGACTGGAAACCCAAGACAAAAGTATGAATATTTTGTTCTCTAGCACAACTTTGAGTAAATTTACTGAATCTTTCTACTTCTACTTGTCTCTTTCATGCTGCTCCCTGGACAGATGGCGCCCTGAGCATTTGCAGATGTCCTCTTGAGAAGCTGTAACCATAACAGCAGGTGTAATTTTTATTATATGTTAACATAACAAATAATAATAAAATAATTTAATTCATAACTATAATGTTTAAAGTACAATGTAAAACATGCAAATGTTAGGTCACTTCACTATCCACTATTAAAAATGTACAAATCTACAATATGTGAATACACTGTCCTACATGTTTCAAAAATGTCCTGCCTGAGACACCGTCAAGTATCCTCGAACACGGCCATTCTAAGATGAAAATCATTGAGGTTTTCTGCTGCTACTGGAGCAGCAGAACAAAAGGAAGTAAGAGATTTATTCTTCCTTTGCACTGCATTTTGGAGATGTGTGTGACAGTTGCTGTCGAGGCACAGAGTAAAAACAACCTGGTCAACATGCTGACATGTTATGAAAAGCTGAAAGAGATGATTATGTGGCTAAATATGATTTTTCTTGGCATAAGAAAGCAATCTGGCAGGATTTCTAGTCCTTCTTCTAGTCCCAAAGGTATTTTCTCTTTAAAGATATTCTATGTTTTGCATGTGCTTTTTGAGTAGGTGTTGAGACAGTGGACTTACTCAATGGATTCTGGTTAAAATAAAGGTTATTCAGTTTGTTCAAGAAACATGTTTCCTCCTGTGGAGCTGAGCAGAGAGACAAGAGCAGCATTCCCTTGCAGTAAAAACAATTACATACGTTTTTGATACTCTGCTACTACTGCTGCTTAAAGATTCAAGGAGGAGAAATGCAAATCAAACAGGTAAGTAAGGTACTGTTAGACAAAATACTCTAACACCACAGTGTTGTGAAAATATTTGCATACTTCTCATTGCACAGATCTCATATATTGTTTTCATTTGTGTCACATTTAAATAACCCATTTACAGACAGATCTGTGCAAACAGTAAATCACACAATGCCCTGAACTAAAGCAATTAAACTACAGAAAAGAAACAAAATGATTTTTTTTTACTGAGCTTATCTTCGTCTGACTTAAAAAATGTTTTCTTATGTGAAACATCTAACTATGGCACAAAAAGCAAAAACAATAGAAAACTCTTAATGGGGAAATACATTGGTGCAGCACTGGATATTTTTATTATTTCACCACAAGTTGTAGTCAGAGAATGAAAGACATGGGACCCCTGTGTCCACCTGATATAAAGAGCCACTGAGTTTTGTATTTTCCAAATGCATCTGACTACAAAATGTTATTTTGGTTTCTTTTTTGTTATATAAAGTTATTTTATTGCCTTTAATATACATTTTTTGTATACCTTTGTCATGAGTTTCTATCCAGATCACGTCCAAATTTTAATTCATCCTTGCAAATGTTGATTACTGTAATGCACTTCATGCAGGGGTCAGTGCTTCGTCCATCATCTGTCTCCTGAGTACAAAATGCTGCAGCTGGCACTCAGAAGTTTGAGCACATTTCCCACATTTTAGTCTTTTTTTTTTCTTTAAGTCGCTCCATGACCTTGCCTCACCCCAACTCTCTGAACTATTGCAGCCTGATACACCTGCCCACTTTTTGCTGCTCTTCCCTGTACGATGATACAAATATCATGATTTAGCTGCAGCAGCTCCCAAATTGTGGAATTGGAAATGATCTATATTAGTTGTTTTGATGCCGTTTTATTGTGGAGCTGTTAGTTTAACTGTACCGTTCATGTTCTGGTTGTTGAAGAGTGTGATAAAAAAAGAAGAAAAAAACTAACTTCCATCAAATGAGTCATGGGAGTGAAAGGTTGCCTTTCTTTGTCCATTAGTCCATTAGTAATCATTTTTCCTACTGTGAGTTATTTTAGATTGTGTCAAAGGTGGGAATCATGGCAGGCTTCTTCTAAGGTCCAAAAAAGAGAATTTATTGATGCTAACCTTTCAAAGAGCTGTCTGGTGAGACGATCAATAGACCAGTCTCTTCTTCTGCTCCAATTTGTTTCATAGGCTAAATTTTCTTTTGTTTTTCTGCTAGACTTTTCAGTCACATACTTTGACTTTGACATGACACAAATGCACAAAAGAACAGTAACAACAAAACAGTGAAGGGTTGGATGCAGGGCACATCTTCCTCTCTGTAAGCTGTGTGATTGAGAAAAGAGTTTGAGATCAAGCTTCAGTGAAACTGTATTGTATGCATGTGTTAATATTTGTCTAGCATTTTATAGTGTTAACATGAAAACACATTTAACATGAGTTCAACTATGGAGAAATTAGAATTATTTAGAAAGACAGTAGATCCCATTATGAATGTGAAGTTTGTGTAACTTTGGATAGATCCTTGTTTGTGTGCTTGCAAACATATGCATTGGTATTGAGAATGTAAAATGTTCCCTTTTTTCCCCCTTCAATACTTAATTGTCAGCTGACCTCTGTGGCACACAAATGGTTAAATAACCATTAACTAAATTTATCAGAGAAGAGCTTGGAAAGCCCTCCCATACAAGCCACTTATAGCATTCAGC